GAGAATGGGAGTCCTCTGGGCTTAGCAGTTCACTCCTCTTCCTGTACTTTCTTTTTTCCAGTAGAGGTGCTTCCTGAGACAGAGTCTGCCCCAGATTATAAAACCAAAATGAGAAAGTGTCAAAGGGAAAGAAGACAGTGTGACTGTCACCAGAGAGGCCCCTTGCTGGAAAGGGAAGCCGATGGGAGAGAAGAGCCTCTGTTGACAGTGTGTTATGGGGCTGGCTCATATCTGGTGTGAACGGGAAGGAGGAGCTGCGGTGCCTGGTGGTGCTACTTGCCATATCCTAAATGCTTCTCCAGAATTTCCCCCTCAACAGACTCTCTGGATGATGCCACTGCCAAATCATGAAAAATGTAACAAGGGCGTTGGTTTGCTTTGTGAAGGTCAAAGCAAACAGTCCTAATCTCGAAGCTGGAAGATAGGTGTTCATGGAAGAAAATGGTGTGCTTTTTCTGATTTTGTCTCTTTCCTTTGTGCAACTCTTCCTTCTTCGTAGGCTGAGGAGCTTGTTTGTATTTGATAGTTGGATTCTTTTTATGGAGCCCTGGTTATCATTTGCCCCATGGTTGTTGCATATGCCCATGGCAGGTTCCTGGAGAGCTGACTTCAGTGTCTGCTACATATTCAGGGCAGTGGGTACCCTCGACATGTGACCATGCCTTCCTCCACCTAGCATCACCCCCCACCCTACCCCGTTCCCCATCATCTGGAGAGAGCCTGAGTTTCTTCCATGACCACAAAGTCTGGCTGACCCTTTCAGTGTTTTCTCCTGATCGTCTTAGTCATGCACTTACAGTCAAGCCATCTAAAACTGTTTGTGCGCAGCTATACCCTCCACACCTTCTCGTGCTTCTGTGTTTCTTTTCATGCACTGTGCTCTTTCTGGAATTACCTGCCTTCATTCATCCTCCATGTAAGCAACTTCAACTCATCCATTTTCAAGATCCGGTTTGAATGTCACCTCTGCTTTCCTAATCTCCCTCCCCCCAGTATCAGTGACCCTTCATCTGTGTTTCTACAGCCCCACCCTCTCTGTTATATACCCTTTTACTTATCTTTTTATGTGTCTGCAGGGAGGTGGTATAACAGAGGGAAAAGAACAGGAACTTTGCACTCTGATCTGGGTTTAAAACCTGGCTCTCCCTCTTATTAAGTGTCTGTCTTTGCAAAAGTGATCTGACCTTTGGGAGCCTCTTCTGTCTTTACTTGTAAATGGGCATGATGAACTCTTCTGAAGTGTTTTGTTGAGGATGAAATGAAACAACCTGTGAGATGCTTAGCATGGTACTTGGCATATGGTAGTGTTCAGTAACTGGTAAGGCTAATGATTGTAGTTATTATGATTATTATTGGGTCGTGAAATCTTAGAGATGAAAGGGACCTGAGGGGTCATTCTTATGTCTACAAAGCCTGATGCCTACTCCCTTGTCTGATAGTCATCCAGCTTCTCCTTGAACTCTGTCGCAGACAGGGAGTTCACTTTCTCTCTGATCTTATGATACTTAATGCTGATTATGCAGAGGTTTGCTAGTACTTAGACTAAGTTACTCTATGTTTATTTGGGGAACTGTTTTATTTTTTTTTTATTTTTAAATTTTTTTTATTTTTAAAGATTTTATTTATTTATTTGAGAGAGAGAGAATGAGAGACAGAGAGCATGAGAGGGAGGAGGGTCAGAGGGAGAAGCAGACCCCCTGCCGAGCAGGGAGCCCGATGTGGGACTCGATCCCGGGACTCCAGGATCATGACCTGAGCCGAAGGCAGTCGCTTAACCAACTGAGCCACCCAGGCGCCCCGGGGAACTGTTTTAAATTGGCAGTTATATTTATGTATATATGTGTATGTATATGTATGTGTATATGCATTATATATTTATGTATGTATGCATGTCTATATATATATTTAGTGATGTTTCACCATATAAGATTTCCTAAAAAGTCTTATTGAAAAAGCTGGATAAGGAAGTCACAATGGAAATTAACCTCCCAAGCGAAGTTGTGAGTGGCTTTGCATTTTCTTAGATCTTTTGTTTCTCAGTGGGTTTGCATCTGTTTATTGCTTGTCTCTGAGTGGACTGCCCATGGAAATTGTGGCTCATAATTTTGCTGCAACTGTCAAGCATATCCTGTCTGTGATAGATAAAAAGAATAAAATCTGAGTGACATAATAACATGGTGCATCTAATAGTAGTAATACTTTATTGGCAGAGAGAAGACAGATTTTTTCCTAGTGTGGTTTAGAAACAACCCTGGATTAGGAGCAAGAAATCCTAAGATAGTCTTAGGTACTTTGGGCTCAGTTTTCTCATCTGAGAAGTGGGAGTATTCGTCACACAGAGATGGGATATAGAGAAGGCAGAGGTGAACTCTGTCCCTGTTGAACTAAGAACTTCCCCCCTTCCCCATTCAACCAGAGCAGCTCTTTCTTTAATTTTTCAACATGAGGTATGCATTGGAGTCCTTTATAAAATGCTATTCTAAATAAAATATTCTGTTGCTTAAAAAATTTGTAAACTTCTAAACCGGATTATCTTTAAGGTCCCTCCAGCCCCAAAAACTATATGTCTCTATAATAAAGAAAAGTGATACATCCTTACTAACTTTCTGATGCATGTTCAGTTTTAAAAAATGAAACAAAATTACTTTAGAAACTTTTTAAAATAGTATTTTTTGCCTTCCCTCTCTGATTGGCTTAATTGCAGTGAAAGGCTGTTCCTTTTCTTTTTCTTCCAAAATTTGCTTTTCTCTGGCTTAATCCAAATCCCACTCATACGACGAAAAGGTGATAGGTATGGTGGAAGGCAGGAAGAAAATTCGCTTTATTATTCCCTTGCATCTTTTCATCCCAGGCCAGTCCTTGGAGAAACCATACCATAATTAAAATATGTTTTCAGCAACAGGCATCTATCTCCCTTTTCAGCAATTCCTTTCCCCCGTTCTCTCCAGATGACCTTGTAGAATCATAAAGGTGGAACTAAGATGTAAAAAAATCTTTATACCGAAATTCTTTACTTTAACCATGTGGAAAATGGGACCCTGTGAGGGAGACCGATTTGTACTGGATAGGGTAATGAGCCATAACTCAAATGCTGGTCTTTTCCAGGTCAGTTCATTTTCTAGTAGGTCTGGATAACCTCCTGTGCTTCAGCTCTTATTGTAAAATAGGGACAATAAGAATAGTATTTGCTTCTTAGAGTTGTTGCTAGTATTATGTGAGCATAGAACCTTGGAGCAGTGTTTGGACTATAGATAGTTTTGGATACCTGTTTGCTGTTACTCTCATTACTACACTTCCATATTCTGACAGCAGGCTGCCCAAGGTGCACAGAGATGGTAATCTCATTTGGGGACCATGTTGCCTCCCATCTTGCATCCCCAAAACAAGTTATTAAAATAATGTCCTTTTTTTTTTTTTAAACATCCAGTTTTAGCAGGTTACTGCTCCCTGCTGGGTGACATTGGGTAGGTAATTGGTTCTTTTCAGATAAATGAATTTCATGTTAACATGTTGGCTGCTTAATGCTATCTTTGTCTGGTAGTAATGTGTTAACTCAGTGATAATGTGTGTGCTTCCAGAAAATCAAGGACTGACTTTAATGAGGTGCCTTCAGATTGTGTGGTAGGTGAGTGTGTAAGTCCTTTTCAATCAGATAGGTCAGTCATTTTACCTTGAGGAAGGTACCTTCTTCCACTGGAATGAATGGGGCTAGTCATGCCATCCCCATCACTCTCACCTCTAATTTCTGGAAAGTAAATGTCAACTACCAAATGGGTGAGCATTTAGGATCTAGACACTATATCATTGTATTCCTTTATAAGGTCGTATGAATGTAACTTTACAGGAACAATGAAGAAAAACTAGCTCTTATCTTTACCTCTATCTTACTTTTGAGAAGCAGGCATATAACTGATGGCTAGCCAAAGGATGCTGGGAGTGTGACTGAAAGAATCTGCCAGGGAGGAAAATAAGGCTATGGGGCAAGCTGCACCCAGAATCTCAGGAGCCCTGAGTCCCAGCTTTGAAATGGCCCTGGGAGGTGGTAGTGGCTTCATCTAGATGGGAGTTTGACCACCAGTTCTGTGATGTCAGCGCTGCAATCAACTTGAGCCAGAATCTTCTCTTTTTCTGTCTTTAGTCTCTCTCTTAATCCCCCCTCCTTCTTCCCTCCCCAACTCCATACCTTGTCCCATTCTTCCAGAGCACAGTGATTTATTGACATTGTGAATGACCTAGGGGGACACAGTGAGTTGCCACTTTGTGGAGCTGAAACTCTTTGCCAGTCTCAACGCCCGCCCAACCATCACGCCCTGCAGGGACCTCTTGAGGAATATGTGGCATTAATGGGTGGAAACTCCTACCTCCTCACCGTTGGTTTATATTTTCCTTCCCCGGCACCAATCCCCCCACCCCCCGACCATGGCGGGGTGGGTGGGGAGGGAGGGAGAAATGAAATCTCTCATTAGCAAGAACATATTAGGACTTTCTAAGTGTGATGTGTGATTACTTTAATCCCTACCAATTGCTTTACTATTTCAAAATGGAACCGGCTCTCTGGCGGGCGTGTAGGTGAGCCGCACCTGAGAGCTCCCAGCACGAACTCCGCGGAAGCTCGCCTCGCCGTTCGGCCCACAGGCTCCTGCGGGCCGTAGCCCTCGGTTCCCCGGGACTGCGCGCGGGGCGCCTCCGGCCGCGTTTTGTGCGCGCCGGGCCTCTGCGTGGCGCGCGGGGCTCCCGGTCCGAGGCCCGAGCCCGGCGAGCGTGTGCCCCGCGGACGGCGCTGCCCGGTGCGCCGCTCCCTCCGCGCCCGCGGGTGTCAGACCAGACGCCAGCCCCCGCGCGCTGACAGACGACTTTTCTCAGTTGTCAGTTTTGTCGCTTGTCAGCGGGGCTGCTGGTAAGTGAAAGAAAACAGAGACAGGGCGCGAACGCGGCGAGGCAGGGGAGAGAAGGGGTGGGACAGGAGGAGGGAAGCCGCGGGGCGCCCGGGGCTGGGGGGGAGCGCGGGGAGTGGGGTGCTTGGCCTCCGGGTCGGACCACCCCGCCCGCACCAGTTCCCCCTTGGCGCTTCCCCTCCCCGCTCGGTCTCCCTTTCTCCCCCAAATCCTTCAGCTGCTACACTGATCGCTTCTGTGGCTTTGTTTAAAAAAAAAAAAAAAAAAAATCCGAATAGGTCCGAGGTGCTTTCTCCTGGAGCAGAAGCACAATCCCTGTTCTGGGTATTAGCTCGGGACCATGGCTGGTTCCCGCAGCTGCCTCCGGGAGGCACCTGGGCCGGGAATCGCCCGCGCTGCGAGCCCGCAGTAAGTCCGGGTTTGTGGGCGCAGAAAGGAGGAGCGCACGCAGAAAGTGACAGGCAAAGGCGCGCGGCGTCCGGCTGGGGCTCGAGGGCCGGACCGGCGAGGAGGCGGGGAGGGACAGTCCAAACTCTCACAGCCTCACTCCCAGTGATAACCTGCAGCTATGGAGTCGCCAACCAAGGAGATTGAAGAATTTGAGAGCAACTCTCTGAAATACCTGCAACCCGAACAGATCGAGAAAATCTGGCTTCGGCTCCGAGGGCTGTAAGTAAATCTATTTACTTCCCCTGCCCCGTTTCTCTCTGCAATCGCTATCTTAAGTATCCCGTTACAGCCATGAGTGCTCACCCCCTTCCTGCAGGCCCCTTTAAATACAGCCCTAGACGTTCCACAACTGCTTCTCTGTTAATTACAGTCACTGCTACCTTTTTTTTCAACCGAGACTTGTTTTTTTGAGTGTTTTAGAATGCCTTGCTATTTCCAAAGCATACTTTCTTTGGGGGGAAGAGGAGATGTCCTTAGATTTCAGTTGTAGTAGCTCAATATCCATGGAGATGTTTCTGGTCCTTTTTGCCCAAGGAGGAAAGTCTGGGGACTCAGGCTACAGACTATTAATCAAAGGAAGATACTCTCTGCAAAATGCTTGCAAACATCTTGGCAGGTGGTCCAAGAACTTACCAACAGTTCAAATTCAGCATTCATTCTGGCTGCTAAATTTTCCTCTCCCTCGCCCCTCCTAGTTCAACTTCTGATATTTTCTTAGGATTCTTTCTATCGGGAAATAATTACTAGAAGGAAGGGCTGTTTTTGGAGAAAGTGGGGGTCAGAACAAATAATTGGAGTTTCCTAGCAATATTGGAATAGTGAAATAGCGTGTTTGCTTTCAGGACAGTGGCCAGAATTCTAACTGGACTGATGGACAGAGATCTCTGAATTTCATTCACTTCATTGGGTTCTGTCTGGTTTGGGGTGCTGAGGAGAGGTGACGTGAAAATACACAGTATTTTTTGTGAAAATATTTCATAAACAATGAACAGCTGGTCACCCCAGTCAGGAAGCTCTAGTGTTAGCTGTACATTTACAGCTTGCTCCTCTGTTGACCAGGCAGATCCCCAAGACACCTTTCATTACTACTAGATATTCATTTCATTGGACATTGGCATCAAATATCTAATGCAGTTAAAAAAGAAAAAACAACAGTTTTTCTCCAAGTATATCCTGCAGACGTTCTGTTCCTAATGGACAGTGATGGGAATACAAGCTCCTTGGCAGTTTGTTTTGCTGTAGTTATTGCGTCTGAGAGCACACGCGCGCACGCACACATAGACACACGACCCAAAACAAAATAAAAAAGACACTGAAATAAGTTAGCTTCATCTTAGAGGACAGCACATCCTGACTGGGATATTTCAAGTTTCTAAAGGGAAGCGATAGGTAGTATATGTTTCTTTAAGGGATCCCCGTTGAAAGTGCAATTTATAAAAAGCCTTTCCATCAATCTTCCAAGTGAGCTTCATTGTCACTGATCCACGTGGGAAACCCTGCCAAATGATATGATTTTTGAGTTGTCGGGCTGCTGCAGACAGAGGCGGTAAACTTACTTGGAGATCTTGTCTTTTCGGTTGGCAGGCGGTCCTGACCATTGAGAGGCATGCAAGGTAGCACCTCTTTCAGAGCAGTGTTTACAGTAAGCACCTGTCATACGTATGAACATTACCTGTGATCATATTGAGGTGCACACAGAAAGTTGTGTCTGCAAAGTCTGGGTCCGAGGTATGAAATGTCAAAGTGCTGTCAGGCGGGTCCCCGTGCTGTCTCGGCTGGAGGGACTCCTCTGCACACACTCAGGAGCTGCTTCTTTCTGGCTGCTTTACAATTACAACCGACTCCATGGAGCTACTCGGGCTAGAGAGGAGTGTTTGGGTAAATCAGCCAGGCTGAGCATGTGTGTGAAAAAGCATTTAGTGCTTATAACACACTGTCTTATAGCTTTCTGCTTCCTATCTTTTAGGCTTCTCTCCCCAAGGTGTTGGGGTGTGATATAACCACATTTTCGTTCTCTCGTCTCTTGCATCTACTCAGCATCCTGTGACTTTGAACATAAAAGGTGTGGGTTGGTTCTTCTCCAAGTGTGTGTTTTTGAATTCCTCTCTTTACCCTTCCTACTGAATACCCTGCCTAACAGCAATCCAAGGAGATCTGTTGCTCCACTTTCTATTTTGAAAAGGACATGTTACTGTTGTTATTATGACATATATATATATATATATATATATGTATTTACTACTGTTAATGGTTCTTACTGCCACTTAAAAAAGCCCAAAACAGTAGTGCTATGATAAGTTGCTAAAGACTCTGGAAACCAAAGGCAAGCTTATTTATACCACTTGGAATAACACTCTTGCAGTTCACAAAATAGAAACCCATAGGAGGTGGAAGGGTATGTTTCTGTTTGTCCACACAACAGACTGTCAGTAAGAGAGAGGAAGCAGCCCTTTCAACATTTTAGAAAGACCCAATAGCCACAGTTGGATTTCCACTATTACCATGACTCCCCTATAGAAAGGGCTTTGTAGGCAACCACAGATAGTCAAGAATTTGGTTCAGTTTGTTTGAGAGCCATCTAAGTTGAGGACTTGATCATCTCATACCTGGACTATTCAATGGCATCAGTCTTCTTGTCAGTATCTTCTCTATTCAGTCTACTGTTGAATTTTTCATCTCCCCTATTAGAATGTAAGTTCCTTGAGGATGGACACCTTGTGTGTCTTACTGCTGTACCTCCAGGGCATAGAGCAGGATCTGGTACATAGTAAGTGTTCAATCGATAGGTGATGATGGAAACATAAAAAAACCACATATTGAACTTTTTAATAGCCAAATGAAGATAAATATATATTGGGGTCAGCTTATAGGCCACATGACCTATCAACACAGTATTCCATGAAGTAGATGGGAGTCAGGTTTTGTTAACATTGTTACCCAGGTTGGGCACAGAAATCTAAACTGAAGTAGGAACAGGGTAAAATGTGGGAAAGCCATAACCTAGGGCTGGATCCCACTCTTCGGTTTACCTAGGTTCTCTTTTTCCCTCCCCATATCCTCTCCTCTTTTGTGCACTGGCCAGGAGGGGTCTTTACCAGCAGGAAGAGGATTGTTGTTGCTGTTCTTATTTGCCAAGAATCTACAGCGTAGGAGAATATAGGGGATGATCCTGTATGTGTTACAACCTCCACCCATCCCCCTTCCATGCTTTGTTTCCTTTTTTTTTTTTTTTTTAAAGATTTTATTTATTAGAGAGAGAGAGAGAGAAAGAGAGCATGAGTGGGGGGGCAGAGGGAGAAGGAGAAGCAGACTCCCTGCTGAGCAGTGAGCCCAATGGAATCCCCTGGGATCATGACCTGAGCCCAAAGCAGAGGCTTAACCAGCTGAGCCACCCAGGCGCCCCCATGCTTTGTTTTTTCTCTCTTGCACATCTCACCACCTGAATGCTATGTATTTTATTTACTTATTATGTAAATGTATTTTGCGTAGGTATTTATTTTATTTACTTATTATGTACCTTATTTACTTATTATGTTTATTATCTGTCTCCTCCAGCTAAAGTATAAACTTCATGAAGACATAGTTTTTTCATCTGTTTTGATCACTGGTGTATCCCCAGCACCTATAAGACTATCTGGTATATAGTGAATTATCAATACGTATTTGAAACCTAGAGCTCATTGACATATTTCCCTGGGAAAAAATTGGGAAAAACTCTTAATGTAGCCTTGTAACAACATCAAGATGCTAATAAAACACTGACTATCAGAAATGTGAATTTTAAACACTGTCTACCCCTGTTGAGATTGCAAAACCCTGCAAGCCTTGGTGTTTACTATAATTATGACTCTTATCTCCCTTGAGCGAGGTCCTGAACACCAGTGCATAGAGGCCGACTGTGATTCGAGGCTTGCGGTGTTCCTCAGCCTCCCTCTGCAGCCCTGCCACCCTCTCATACCCACATTCACATTCCTCCAAGCCGGGAGGAAACAAATACTGCACACCTGAGCTTTTTAATGATCTCTGTCAAAGGGATGCTGTCCGATTACATTTCTGGGAGGAGCCTCTTTTTTTTTGTTTTACCCGTTTACGTTTCAGTAGACCTTGGTTGTCCCCCAGTGCTGTCGTCATACCTCTTTCTTTATAGAGTGGGTGGAATTTGTAAGAGCCCCTCCCAATTGCTGTTTTGTCAGGGAATCTTCCAATCAGGAAAAATATGACAAGGGCAGCACTTTATTCCTCTGGTGATGTAGGGGAACCTCAGGGCTGCATAGGTTTGAGTCATGACTTGTACCTTGGGTCCTGACCAAGAGTTTTCATATTGCCAGCATGGTTTTTGTTTGTTTTTTAAATTGGGAGCAAGCCAACAGGTTTCAGTTACTCCTCGCCATTTATTGTCACAGTTGTAATTAAGCCAATCATGTATTTATTTTGCCCAACTATGAAGTGGTCAGTATAATAAATTTTATGCTTATATAATGCTATGAAGATGATTTTTTTTTGCATTATCTAAAACAATATTATGATATAAAGGGAGGTAAATGGCTATTTAGGTAACAGACTGGGACTACTGTTTTCATCTATTTGGTGAGCTTTCCCACTCCCTAATGTGGTAACAGACCCTGCCTCCCTCCACCCCCTACCCCTGCCTTAGGGATGAGTTCAAGGTCCACTAAGACTGGCCAGTCTTAGAATTTCACCCTAGTGGCAACAGTGGTAGGTCTCAGGTGTGGCAGGGACACCAAGCAGGAGCCGTAGAGTCCTTCACTGAGATTGCTCTCTTGGCCATTGGGGAGAGCTGCTTTCCCTTCTTCTGGGTTTTCCTGGTGCCTGCCACTGGTTCTACTTCCTACTTCGTGGAGAAGACCTTTCTGTGATAGGAGACAGGAGAACCAACACTCAGAGAAAAGCAGAGGGGAGAACATGGAGTGGAAATCCCGGGTCTGCTCCCAGAATCCCCAGTTCCTGCACTTGTTTCTCTGATTCTGGGCTCGCCCAGCTACAGGACCAGTCGGCCTGTTTCTGCTTAGGTTGCTTTGATTTTGGTTTGTCTCCAAGAGTCTTCACTAATACCCCTCTGAAGCACAGAGAACTTAAGTGACTCTTCCAAAGATGTGGGGGAAGGCCATAGGCAAAGAAGCCTGCATCTTTGCCTTCGTATTTCTTACTTAATTAAGCCCTCTTAGGCTGTATTTTCTCTGTACTCATCTGAAATTTTT